GGCGATGCGCGAGCGACCGCTCGGTGGAGGAGCGCTCTGTGCGCCGTTCTTAAGGAACCCTCGGTGCGGCTGAGGCCTGAGGGAGAGAAGCCGGCTGGGGCCTTGGTGAAAACCAGCGTGTGTGTGTGTCCGAGGCCGTGTGTGTGTGTGTGTGTGTGTGTGTGTCCGCGGCCGTGTGTGTGTGTGTGTGTGTGGGTGTGTGTGTGTGCGAGGGGGTGTGTGTGTGTGTGTGTGTGTGTGTGTCCGCGGCCGTGTGTGTGTGTGTGTGTGTGGGTGTGTGTGTGTGCGAGGGGGTGTGTGTGTGTGTGTGTGTGTGTGTGTCCGCGGCCGTGTGTGTGTGTGTGTGTGTGGGTGTGTGTGTGTGCGAGGGGGTGTGTGTGTGTGTGTGTGTGTGTGTGTCCGCGGCCGTGTGTGTGTGTGTGTGTGTGGGTGTGTGTGTGTGCGAGGGGGTGTGTGTGTGTGTGTGTGTGTGTGTGTCCGCGGCCGTGTGTGTGTGTGTGTGTGTGGGTGTGTGTGTGTGCGAGGGGGTGTGTGTGTGTGTGTGTGTGTGTGTGTCCGCGGCCGTGTGTGTGTGTGTGTGTGTGGGTGTGTGTGTGTGCGAGGGGGTGTGTGTGTGTGTGTGTGTGTGTGTGTCCGCGGCCGTGTGTGTGTGTGTGTGTGTGGGTGTGTGTGTGTGCGAGGGGGTGTGTGTGTGTGTGTGTGTGTGTGTGTCCGCGGCCGTGTGTGTGTGTGTGTGTGTGGGTGTGTGTGTGTGCGAGGGGGTGTGTGTGTGTGTGTGTGTGTGTGTGTCCGCGGCCGTGTGTGTGTGTGTGTGTGTGGGTGTGTGTGTGTGCGAGGGGGTGTGTGTGTGTGTGTGTGTGTGTGTGTCCGCGGCCGTGTGTGTGTGTGTGTGTGTGGGTGTGTGTGTGTGCGAGGGGGTGTGTGTGTGTGTGTGTGTGTGTGTGTCCGCGGCCGTGTGTGTGTGTGTGTGTGTGGGTGTGTGTGTGTGCGAGGGGGTGTGTGTGTGTGTGTGTGTGTGTGTGTCCGCGGCCGTGTGTGTGTGTGTGTGTGTGGGTGTGTGTGTGTGCGAGGGGGTGTGTGTGTGTGTGTGTGTGTGTGTGTCCGCGGCCGTGTGTGTGTGTGTGTGTGTGGGTGTGTGTGTGTGCGAGGGGGTGTGTGTGTGTGTGTGTGTGTGTGTGTCCGCGGCCGTGTGTGTGTGTGTGTGTGTGGGTGTGTGTGTGTGCGAGGGGGTGTGTGTGTGTGTGTGTGTGTGTGTGTCCGCGGCCGTGTGTGTGTGTGTGTGTGTGGGTGTGTGTGTGTGCGAGGGGGTGTGTGTGTGTGTGTGTGTGTGTGTGTCCGCGGCCGTGTGTGTGTGTGTGTGTGTGGGTGTGTGTGTGTGCGAGGGGGTGTGTGTGTGTGTGTGTGTGTGTGTGTCCGCGGCCGTGTGTGTGTGTGTGTGTGTGGGTGTGTGTGTGTGCGAGGGGGTGTGTGTGTGTGTGTGTGTGTGTGTGTCCGCGGCCGTGTGTGTGTGTGTGTGTGTGGGTGTGTGTGTGTGCGAGGGGGTGTGTGTGTGTGTGTGTGTGTGTGTGTCCGCGGCCGTGTGTGTGTGTGTGTGTGTGGGTGTGTGTGTGTGCGAGGGGGTGTGTGTGTGTGTGTGTGTGTGTGTGTCCGCGGCCGTGTGTGTGTGTGTGTGTGTGGGTGTGTGTGTGTGCGAGGGGGTGTGTGTGTGTGTGTGTGTGTGTGTGTCCGCGGCCGTGTGTGTGTGTGTGTGTGTGGGTGTGTGTGTGTGTGTGTGTGTCCGAGGCCCCGTGTGTGTGAGTGTGTGTGTGTGTCCGAGGCCCCGTGTGTGTGTGTGTCCGAGGCCGTGTGTGTGTGTGTGTGTGTCCGAGGGGCCTTGGTGAAAACCAGCGTGTGTGTGTGTGTGTGTGTGTCCGAGGCCGTGTGTGTGTGTGTGTGTGTCCGAGGGGCCTTGGTGAAAACCAGCGTGTGTGTGTGTGTGTGTGTGTCCGAGGCCGTGTGTGTGTGTGTGTGTGTCCGAGGGGCCTTGGTGAAAACCAGCGTGTGTGTGTGTGTGTGTGTGTCCGAGGCCGTGTGTGTGTGTGTGTGTGTCCGAGGGGCCTTGGTGAAAACCAGCGTGTGTGTGTGTGTGTGTGTGTCCGAGGCCGTGTGTGTGTGTGTGTGTGTGTGTGTGTCCGAGGCCGTGTGTGTGTGTGTGTGTGTGTGTGTGTGTCTAAGGCCCCGAGTGTGTGTGTGTGTGTGTGTGTGTGTGTGTCCGAGGCCTTGGTGAGAAACAGCACGTGTGTGTGCGTGTGTGCGCGTGTTTGTGTCCGGGGCCTTGGTGAAAACCAGCACTTGTGTGCGTGCGCGCGGTGTGTGTGTGTGTGTGTGTGTGTCCGGGGCCTTGGTGAAAAACAGCACGTGTGTGTGTGTGTGTGTGTGTGTGTGTGTGTCTCCTAAATAGCGTGTGACACCCCTAATGTGATTTTATCAATACATTCGCCAATTCATTTCATCTTCTTAACTTCCCTCTTAGGATACATATATCAGACGAACTTTTAAAGTCATAGCCACGTTGTCACATCGAAGGAAAGGACTTTTTTTTTTTGGTTTTTAAAGACAGGGTGTCTCTGTAGCTTTGGAGCCTATCCTGGCACTCTCTCTGTGGACCAGGCTGGCCTTGAACTCACAGAGATCCGCCTGCCTCTACCTCCTGAGTGCTGGGATTAAAGGCGTGCACCACCAACGCCCGACGAAAAGACAGTTTTTTACACTTTACCAATAGCGCCCTTTTGCAGTTGGTTTGGGGCATCCAGATAAACCAAGGTCAGCCTGTTCCACCGGTATCATGTGTTAAAGTCTCTCACTTGACAGCTTTAAAATTAGCTAACAACAAGGTTTGGTTGGCATAAAGGCAGTATGGTTGTGTACGTCACTTAGTGGTTGTCAGGTGGTTGTCAGCTGATTTTCATTTGCTTTAGCTCAGAAGATTGCTGGGCTTTCACCACGTGCCAAGATGTGAAACTTGCCTTTTGACTAGTTTTCCTATAGTAAAACACTTCTGGTCTGTTGAAACCTGAACTAGTAAACAAATGCTTGACCATAAGTCTGTCAATCGAGGTTATATGCCTTTCTTGTCAATTTTTTCCTGGACCTGAAAACTCTCAGGAGTCTGATGAGAAATTAAGATACTCCTTCTATCATTCAAAATGCTCCTTCCTCCTTGATTCATAACCTGGGGAACCCTCCTGTCACATTTGAGGCCCCACTGTGCTTGTTTTGTAGACAGGTATGTATAACATGAATGCTGTTCTCAAACGTGTCTAAATTCTTTAATAGGATATAGATTGTATTTAATAGGATATAGCCTTGAGAACTCATTTGGAGGTTCTAGCAGGAGATCACA